TGCCTTTTTACATGTTATCATCTCATAACAAAAAGTAAATGACTCATTTTAAATGAAAGAATATATTCAATCAGTGCAAATGAAGTTTAGCAACTTATTCTGAGTAATGTTAATTTACAAGTTATCATCAATTATATCACTTCTTACAGTTCATCTAAATTTTTTGTTAACATCGTGTCCCCCCCACTAACACGTTACTAACGGACAGAAGGATTTCCAGAGCAAGTTTACATCTTACTGAGGCGTAAACTGTCACGATACAGTAAAAATGTAAGCAGCAAGTTATTTAACAACACATAGCACATCGACCAAGCAAGCTAAGATTTTTCTGGTTTTCCCCACACGATAAAAACTTTGAGCACTTCTTGCTTATTAGAAGTTCACCTTTTTTGGTGAAAAATATCTTCTATAATGCCCATAAAAATGTGATAAATGCGACACAAAATATCACAAAATCTTCAACTGTGAAATACAAAGAAATTTGAGCAAGCTGCTTCAACACCACATTGAAGTCATACTGCTTATTTAATACACAGCTAACTCATGGAAAACATTCCCCATGGAAAGAAGACAGCTATCATAATAGCAACATAGCCATACAAATACACAGTATTTATAAAAAACGACTGTTCTTAAAAGGACTAGTCACTTCGATGTCGAAATAAACACATCATTTGCTCTAATTCGGCACTCTGATCCAAACTGCTGACTTGTGAGCTAAGACTAAAAGCCCATTAAACAGTTCAGCCTCGTTATGAAAAGCCGTTTAATCATGCATCATTAACATTTCTATGAATATAATACCCATATTATATTCTATTATATGCATATAATACCCATACATTACACAGTTTTACGGCATCTTTACTTATTCAAAGACATTATGCTGCTTTTCCTCACAATGAGCAATATCTTGTTGATTAACATACTAGCATCAAGGTTTGCTGTGAATAAAACATCACTTAACCCCAAGTAAAACTGACAGAATTAGGGTTAAAAATATTGCTTTAATTTTGCCATCTGCTGTATGCCCCTTAAAAATAACAAAAACATGTAAAAGAACTGCCTATAATCTGATAGTATTCATTGAAAATGAAAATCCATAATGATCCTTGAGTGTGAAATATGTATTGAAAGTTTAATATAAAAGCTGAATTTTGAATAAACACTAGTTTGTTTTCTGTAAGATTTTTATCCAGTCAGAACTTTAACACTTCCATTTCAAAGGCTGAAGTGAAAAAAAACAAAACAAAAAACCAACCACAAAACCGAAACGCTTACAAGGAATTCAGAAATACATTTCCCTAAGATACACTGATATAAGACCTATACTTATGGTTTTGAGAATTTAACATGAGACAACAAAAATAGGCAACAAAATAATCGAAAACAAAGATCAAAAAAAACAACTCTATGCAAATTCCTAGTCACAGAAAAGACAACGTTCAAAAATGTTTGGGGTTGTTTGAGTTTTTTTTTATTTTCTAAAGGCAATCAAAAAAATGTAGGATAAAACCCCCAAACATCTCTTATGCACGAAAACCAGCACCTTAGCCCTGAAGCATACATAACAGGGTAAATTTGGAATAATGTAATATTCAAGGTGACTATAGAGTACCAGAATTAAGTCTAGTTAGAAGTTATTTGCAATATACCTGGTTCAATACAATGTAAAACTTGAAGGTGCAGTGGCAGCTTTTTCTCATCAATTCATGGAACTTTACATCAACTACCAGCACAGATTGATCATGGAACTGAAGGCCGACAGCACCAGTCAGAGAAAGATCTCAAATTCCCATATGGCGTTAGTGAAAAAGAAGTAAGATCAGCTTTTGAGTTTGAAAACAGATGTACTTCAGTGAAAAACAAAGCACAAATATGTACTTACACAAGAAAAAATGCTGCTAAAATTACTTTTTTTAAAGCCTAGACGGATGACGGAAGCATCTTATTTTCTTGGAAAAGTATTCTATTTTCACTGGAAAGGAGTTTTTAAAACATTTATGTCAGGGCGGAAAAATATGCCCACACAAAAATTTTCAAACGACACCTAGCACTAAGTTTGTTTTGCATTATTTTATACATTCATTATCCACCTTATGAGAAAAAGCTTCCTGAATCATTTATTTACATTATCTAAAAAGATCAGCAAGTGTGTAAGGTTAACTGCTATATCCGCGTTACTATGTATTGTTTTAGCAAACAGTAAAATGTACTAGGAATAGGATAAAATATTACTGCGACCTAAAGTAAATATATCACTTAGCCACAAGAATCAGCTCCCAGTTCTTCTGGTCTCACCTTATACACACGAATAAACTGATTAGTTGCAGAGATTTATAGGGATTGTTTTTCCTTCCTCTTCCCTCCTCTGTCCTACCTCAATGGCATTTCTGCTTCTCTATTTATGCTGTAACAGACACATACACTAACAAACTTCTAAGTCCTTCCATCCAATACACTTTATCGCCTCTTGGCGTGGCACTGTCATTCTGCCCTGACTCACAAGTGAAGCGCTTGTTGGCTGCCAGCACTGGCATGCTATGTACAGCTCACAAGGGTATTCGGGTAAATAAGAATAATGGCATCATTCAGCAAATAAGTCTGGCGACCTCCAACTTAGAGAGCATCCCTCCTCTTCTACATAGAAACCTGGAGTATCGATTTCCTCTTTAAACAAAATCGCAACTGTCAGCATTTACTCTTAGGATCCCTTTCTAGATCCCATTAAGGCTAATTCCAAACAAAACAGCATGGAATTATTTAGTACAAAAAGTTTCCATTATTTATCTCTTTCATGAATCATTTAAGACTTCATGTCAGCAACTGAAAACATTCATGTCGATCTCACAAAGAGTAGGCAATATATTATGCATGCTGCCCACTGATTTATCCTTTCAGAAGGTCTCTTGCAGGCCACTTACCAATACTGCCACTCTCTGTCTAAAACATAAACAGAAGTGCTTCTAGAATGTGTGAATAAATAACAATTGCCTATGGTTAAAACCAGCAGGCTGCTAAAACCAATATCCTACGTCACATCAGCTGGGACCAGATGCTTCAGAGAAATGTATTCTTGAGTGGACTATTCCGAAGCAGTACACCCATTATTGAAGAGACTTCCTAAGCTCTTTCTTAGGCTGGCTTATCTATAGAAGCATTTGCCTTTCTTCATGCTTAAAACAAAATTCTACCCTATCCCTCTCCAACTATACACACTGCCCATGCAAATAGTTACTCACTTTTTTTGGAAATCCTATTTGGTCTTCAATCACAATCATTTTGTAGCAACAAGCCTTACAATGCTGCCTTTTTAGGAAGTCAAGGACAAACCGCACGACATCACTTCCATGAGACACTGGAACAGGCTGCCCAGAGAAGTTGCAGATGCCCCATCACTGGAAGTGTTCAAGGTCAAGTTGGATGAGGCTTTGAGCAACTAGTGAAAGACGTCCCTGTCCACGGCAGGGAAGCTGGACTAGATGCCCTTTAAAGGTCCCTTCCCACCCAAACTGTTCTACGATTCCGAAGTTTTTGACTTGTCAAGTCAGCGAGGTTTGCCTACAACACCGAGAGCAGCTAGTTTCTGATAATCAGAACCCCTCAAGTTTGGTCCTAGGAGAAATTCCTATTTCAAGAAGGCAACTTCATATGTACAAGCAATGCCAACAAGTTCCACAGGATTATGCATGTGTGAATTATTAATGAATAGGCACTTACGGAATCAAGATCTTCGCATTTACAAGATGAATAATTTTTGCTTGCACTTCTTAACAAGCAATAGAAAAGATAGGATGAATTTTAAGTTGTTCTAAGAGCAATTTTCTTGCCACTCTAATAACTCCACTTAAATAACAGTCAGTTGCTTTCCAATGAATAATGCAAATAATTATTTTGTCAGTCAATTATTAGGATGATAATTATTGCATTTTACAGTCAAAAAAAAAAAAAAGCCTAAAAAAAACCCACCCAAACCAAACTCCAACTTAATCAAAACTCTCCGGCAGTGACAGCTTGTTCTGTGCTATTTAACTGGCTGTACTCCAGTAGCTTAAATTTAAGAGTCAGCTTTATGTAGAAATGTAGTAAGTGAAAACTGGGGAAAAAAATCCCACACCTACAGCTGTCACCTAAAATTAAAAACAACATTTTTCTCCAAATCCCAAGCGTACTTTCAAAAAGGTGCCATGTGATCATATTTAGCTACTGCACTACAGTTAAGAACATTTTTAATTTACAACAGATAAACTAAATTGTTTCATTCAAACATGTTTAAAAAAATGAACAAAAGTGAAAACCAGGTATAATTATCTACAAGTCTCAAAACAGTAATTATTGGTTTCACTTTAAGAGCAACCTATAACTTAAGAACTTTCTTTTTTTTTGCCCGTTATGATTTGCAACATAGGCAAAAAGAAATAAACTACACATATTTTGGAAGGGGAAAAACTCCACCCTAAAACAGACAGCCTGGTGTTAGAATAATTCTATGTAGAGAGATGTGTGCTAATGGAATAGTACCAACAAGCTGGCTTGTGCAAAACAGTAGGTGATCTTAACCTCTCCAAGGAGATTGATTAAATGGCTCCAATCCTGTTGAAAATGCTTATCATTTTACTGAGATACTCAGCAAACATGACAACAATATACCATGCCTGGAGCAATTTACTTTAAAAAAAAAAATAATAACCGGGTCAAAATTTTAAAGTTGTTATAACACATAAGTAATAAAGAAGCAAGAATACTTAAAAAAAAAAAAGGAGCTACAAAGAAGTATATTCATAACATCACATACTACTCCTCATTAAAAAGGTCATGCGTTAAGCAAATGTATTTATTTCAACAACCAGGATGAAGCATCAAGATTAGATAACAGGACAGTATTCTTGAAAGTTTACTTATTTTACTTGTATTAACACAGTTATAGAAAGCGATTAACTATTTTTGGCACGTATAAAATAAACATCATGCAAGAAAGTAAACAACAAAAATGTACTTACGAAATCAAAGTCTCCATCTTGAGGGACTTTCCAGTTATCAGGGAAAACGTTTTTGGATATGTGGTAAGGTTCATGCATGTTCTGATTACAGTTTTCAGGGCTTTTATTCTTGGAATCTTGTTTATCAAAGTAGTCCATGAAAGAAGGTCTTTGAACTTGCGGTGAAGTAGCATTTCCTGAGTTGAAAGGAAAAAAGTTAAACCAATTTGAAAATTAAAGATTTACTGCACTACAAAGCAAACTCTATTTATTAACTTTCTTGGATTTTACAGAAACTAATACAGTCATCTCTATGTGGTGCAAGCCTCTATTTGTCCCCTGAGGATCTCTGGCATAAAAGCTCATAGCCAAAGAATGATATTTTTGTAGCAAGATACAGTGTGGAGAAATGCTCAAGACATTTTAGAGTCGCACACAAATAATATTAGAAGTTACTTCATATGATATCTATTTGTTGTTATAGAGACTGAATAACACAAGGTGCTAAGCATCCCTTTGGATTTGAATGCCCCTAACTTCAAGGTCTGGTTCACAGGCACTTGTAGGAAAGCAACAGTTCCATCAGTTTCACCAAAGGTGTGATATAAAAATTATTTAGAAAAAGAACTTGCAAAAATAGCCACATAAACCGTGTCTAGACACTGCTTAATTAAATTCATTGCCACTGAGGATTCTCAGCAAATTACAGGATCACACTCTACAGATGGCTGCAAAGCACCCTATCTCCATGGTGCAGAAACCCTGGGGGATCTTTGTCATCATCTGTGCGGCTGCAAAAGCTTTATGAAGCAGATTGAGATCAGCATGAGCTCCCATTCTATTATCCTTTTCATGAAGCTGAACATAAAAAAAATTATCTACAACTCTAAATGACTGAAATTTGTTTTCATTTGTGGGATTTCAAAGCAAGTTCTTTACTAAATAAAACAATAAACAAATCATAAGAAATGCTTTAGTAGTTCTACACAACTGTCACCTCAGAGACTATATTCTGCATAGCATTGACTCATGAAACGTGTACTTGCTTGCAGAGTAACACAGTCTACATAGAGAAATATGAAATACATTTCTACAAGTAAAATATGAAACAGGCTGAGAAATATAAATAACCAAGCTAAAACAAAACCAAAATAAACCACAAACCCACAAAAAAAAAAACCTCCCACCAGCCACAGGTAGAACTATACTTTTTAATTATAAGCATAATAAAATAATTAGGAATTTTTATTTGAACTACTGGTTTTAACAAGTGAAAAGGAAAACTACTGGAAATCTTGGAGCTTGTGTTTAACATGATCACTAGGACTTGATCTTCATACCTGACTTTACACTTGTTTTTATTAATTCACTAAGTGGTTTTTTGTTACTCTCCTCTTTTTACTTCATTTCATCATCTCTTCCTGTGGTAATCCATTCCCTGTGTCTTAAGATTTTTTTAAATTCATTCTAATTTTGCTGCATGGTTAATAGTGGCCTATTTTTTTCATTAATGCTCATTTTTGTACTGCCATCTTTCATAGTATATTGACTTGTTCTTTTCTTTCTGCTTTTTCCACATCATTCTGTTCTAGTAGGATTTCTTTTGGCTTTTTGAATGTGGTGTTCTACTGTCTGGCTTATGCTCTAGGCTTTCCTGCACTTGACCTCAGTTGCTTCTCTTCAGCTCCATGATCATTCCTCCATTCAGTCTGCCATGTTTCCATACACACCTTCTCCTCTCCACACTTTTTTAGCGCGTTTTTCTCTCAGTTGTTGCCATGCTCTTTTTCTAATATTCTTTTCTAATCCCAGATGACAGTTACCTCTACTCACCATCTTTTGACAACTACAGCCATACAAAAAACATTCAGTGAACTAAACTCCAGGTTGAATTTAACAGACCACAGAGCAGACACCTCTTCTCCAAAATCTCCAAAGTTTGCCCCCACTAAAGATCACTTGAATGAGGTTTCTGGATCTCCTGAATCTGGGACTGAGGGATGAGAAGTAAACAGTAGGGATGCCAAGTAACTACAGACATAAGCACTGAAGGGCAAAAATGGAAGAAACTAAACTTTAGCAAAGCATAAATTTAGAAAACAGATCCAAGAGAAGGTAGTAGTATGAAAGAGGTGAAATTAGAAACAGAAATACAATGTGTTTTCTTAATACAAACCTTTTATTACTTGCTGACTGCTGCCCAAAACCCCTGGAATTATTTGTGCCAAAAAGATAGGACACCACATTGCTGGCCTTTCACAACCAATATTTCTCTTCTGCTGAGACAGTTGTACTTATGTTTCATCCTTGAGACATACTTATAAACATGAAGATTACCAGTGTCTCTGTTAGAAACTCTGAAGTACCAAAATGTTGGCCCATTACAGGTAAGACAGTCTCCTTCCTTGAGAGGTAAAAGAAAATACTAAAGATTTTTCAAGCACTGCTCTTCAGTTTTAGAACTATTTATAAAATCTCCCTTATATTTGTAATAGAAGACTGCCTACAAACATAAAACAAACCAATTTCTCCAAATTCCTTGCTATCAAATGCACATTAAGGAAAGTGGGTCAACAGGCCTGAAATTACACCAGAATGAGCAAAGCACGTTTATTATACACTTTGAGGACTTGTTCTATTTGCTTTGATAAAAAAGAATTTAGAACTCACTTCCAATCCCAGTTTAGTATACAGTTGGTTAACCCATTTAAAAGAACAAGAGCTGCTTTCCTTCACCGCAAATAGAAAAACTCACACACAAAACCAGAAATATCATGCCTGCAAAACTATGGGACCAGAGATGTTTCAAGGTTTGTTTTTTCCCCAGTGTAAAAAATTAAAATAAAAAAAATGAAGGACTTACTTTTAAAAGTTTACTTTTAAGTTTTTATTTCATTTTTACAAAGAATTAAATGAAAAAGGGACTCTTTTTTTTTTTAGATCTCCAGCTAACTTAAGACAAACAAGTTTAGTTAATATTTCATGGAAAATGAGATATGTTGATCCTTACTAGTTTAAAGGCCCTGTGATGGCTCCTACCTCTTTTGTACTGACTTTATAAAATACTCAGGCGCTTTATGCCAGAGTAAACTCACGTAGATTGCATCTTTTTTGCAAAATGCAAGGTCATTAAAAGATCATTTTGGTCTGAAAGCACTTTTTCTAACTTTCATAAACAACAGAGTAACAGTATCTTGTTGACTGTCTTTCAAGAACCAAGAAATCTAAAAGTACAACACAAAGATTCCTTTAAGGACAATTAATTCACTCAACTATCCAGTAAATTACTTCTTACACAAACTACATATTTTTGCTGCAGAATTTTGGTAGCAATCAGTATTACTCCACACATGCACTGACAACCTATTGTGCAATAGACTGTTCCATTCCAGGAGGCCTTGGATTTTCCAGCTCTTCTCATTTTAGTTCGCTCTTCAACAAGAGATGATAGCGTTTAAAAATGTTTGCCACAGTTTTAACATTCAAGAATACCAGTCTCTTATCATCCCTATACTTGCCCACTTCAGGATTTCAAGATGGCTTTGGGAAGAAAGTCACAACAAAAACAGCAGTCTCAGAAATTGCTGGCAAGCCATGGAACGCAGAGACCACCATGGACACTGAGAACAACAAGTTCTATCTCAGCAATACCTCTGACAGGAATACAGCCAGGGTGGATGTCCCCAAACAGTCACATAAGAGAATTTCTTCCTAAAAGTATGCTGGATAAAAAGAATGAGGCAATGACATAACACCAATTCTATTACAGTGTTTTAAAAACATATCATAGCTAAAATAAATAATTTTAAACACACATTTCAAAATAAGAAGGAATGCACATTCCATTCTAATGGATGTTTTGATCAAATTCAATTGATGTCATGTATAAAATGCTTTTGTAGTGATATATTTCCAAATACAAAAGCATCGTATTAGCATTAAATTGATTTTAAATACATTTAAGAGTTCTGTTGTTACTTGTTAAGTTTCTACACTCTGTGTTGGGCTGAACCACGTATACATTCCCCCATGGGTAGTCTGACTAACTCAGGGTCAGCATGTCGGCAAATCCAGGCTTGCCTTACTTTGTCAGGCGGAACACATCTCTCCACAGCAGTCCCTGATCCTCAAAGAGGGCCCCATGGTCATAAAAGTCAAACCTCTGTGAACAACACTAGAGGCACAACCAAGTGTTGACCCATAGGATCCACCCAGTCCTTTCAAGGCTTTTCCTTCACCATCATGATCAAGAACATACGACCTTGGAGTTACACTCTCGAGGTCATTCTCAAGAACTCCTCTGGCAGTATCACTGGCACATGCCCACATGGATGGGCAGCAGGAGACCATAGCCTAAGCATTGGACAAGCCTTGGTAGTCTTTCAACATTGTGGAGTTGAACCCTGGGCAAGAAATAACTTTTTCCTAGATAGCAAGTACGTCAGCAGATAAGGGCATCCAACTCCTACAGAAAGGAGTCTCCCACTACAACTTCCTGGGAGGGGGCAAGTGGTATTTTGTTTGTTTGTTTGGAGTTTTGGGGGTTTTGGTTTGCTTTTGCTGTGGGTTTTTTTGTTTTGGTGTTTGGGTGGGGTTTTAGTTTTGGTTTGGGTTGGGTTTTTTCACAATTTTCTATAGGAAGTCTAAGTCTTTCTCTCGTTCCATTACTACCAGGGCACTGGACCTCTTCTGCAGCTGCAAATCTACAAAAGAAAGCATTCCTTCTTTTGCCAAAAGCCACAAGCTTCCACAGCCTTCCTCATCCTGGGGATCTCCATCTGCAACTAGACTGAGGAACATTTCCAGCTGCTGCCTCTTCAGTGAAGTTCGGGGATCAGGCTCTTCTGTCTGTAGTGCTTCTGTGAAAATCCTGTCCATATCTTTATTCTTTCAAAATATATTGGTTTGTCACTGTTAGAGTAAGAAGCTGTATTGCAATCAGCTTTTAGCTCTTTTTGGACTATCACCTCTGCTACAAAGGCTACAACAGCTTTAACAACGACATATACTACTTAGGCTTTTTATTTCATACATTCTTACCACTTCTTTCTCACCAAACAAGGTGGCCTACAACACAGTGGCAGTAATTCTCCTGGGAAATTAGCAGAAATTCTCCTGGGAAAGTGGCAGAAATTCTCCTTCCAGCGCAGGGCCACAAAGATGATTAAGGAAGTGGAACATCTTTCTTATAAGGAAA